CCTCCATACTCCACACCCCTGAGTTCATACAAATAAAACATATTTTAATTCAATAGTTTTTTGGAAAAACCTTGTTAGCCTGTGTCCAAAAAGCCAGACGGCCAAATGGATCTGATGTTCGCTGTTTTCATTTTTTTTAAGCCACTCCAGGCTCAGAATCTCCAGGCCAAGCAGTCGAGGCGGAGGAGATCATGAAGCAGCTGGACATGGAGCCAGCAGAAGAAATGCCGAGCATCACCCTGACGTCCAGAGAAGGAATCATGCAGTGCCACACTGTCCCCATGTTACCACAGAGGCTCCAGATCACCTCTGACACCACCATAGAAGAAGGAGAGATCGTCACTGAAACAGACATACCCCCGTTAACAGGTGAGAGTGCTGCCTCATTCTCCTCTTTGTGAATATTTCATTTAACGTGTGGTTTTAGTTATTAATCAGTGTCACACTTTTAAACTAATCAGGAAAATGTCACTCAGTTTGCAGAGTAGAGATGGGATTAACAGCTTTTGGAAAGGAGCTGGATCTTGTGGTTCTGTTTTTATTTAAAGAGAAGTTCAGCACTGATGAGTTAGTCACCTGGTACAGCCTCCATCACTGCTGCACACAAGTGCATTTATTGATCACATTATTCGTTATCGGCCAAATGCCACACTTAACCGTGATCCATTTTTTTTCCATTTTCACCCAACCCTATTCCACATTGACCTAATTTTTTTGGACCAAACATTTTTTTGTTTTGCTTTGTTGTAACGTGAACATAATTTCAAAGAAAAAGCTCTTCATTTCTCTGCAGCATCTAAATGAATCATTCTTCCTCCCCCTGTGTCTGTCAGCTCCTGGGTGTATGCCAGACGGCAGCTATCCACACTCGCTACCCTCAGCACCTGCAGAAACCTCATACGAGGAGGACTGGGAAGTTTTCGACCCGTAAGTTCGTCAACATTAACACTCCTCGTGTGCAGCTTTTACAACTTATTTAGGAGTTTGTTTGTTTTTTAAAAAATCCACAAAATCTGTGTCCTTTTTATTTTAAATTCCCTATTTTTCTAAAAACATCTTGAATGAATTCAGCAGTCATCCTCTCCAGGTTGGATTATTTTAACGTTTTTTATTCTGGCATCAGTCGGTCTTTATTGTCTGCCAGACTTCCAGCTGGTTCCAGGAAAAGGTCACTCCTGTGTGACACTGACTTCCTGTTAAATGCAGGGTTGCTTTTAAAATTTTGTTGGTTTTTAAAGCTTTGCACGACCTGGCAGCTGAATGGTTTTTAGGGCTAAAATATAGTTATTATTCAGAGAGCTTTAAAACCATTTTTTGATTTATTTATTAACAAACTAAATCCTGAGTGAAGAGTCTCAGACCTAAAAGAAATGAGACATTTTGCTCTTTGCTGCAGTATAAAACACTTTTCATTCAAATATTTTGGAAACCAAATGAACAAAATAGGAGTCAAAAAGATGACTGAGTCCAGAGATGTACAGCAAGTTTGTGTGTCACTGAATGCATCACGAGACTCATCTCACCCGTGTTCTTCAGTGTTCCCATGACTCTGTTTTTAGTCATTTTAGAGCGTGGGAGACCTGGACTGATGACAGTCATATTTGAGGCAAACTGTAAAACAGAACACAAACCCTGGTTTTCAACCACTGAATGTGGTCTCAAATCCTTCACAATAAAAGTTGTTCTTTTGGCTGCCGAACTTGTATGAAATATTTAGCAAACGTCTGATGTAACGAGGACAAACCTGCAGACTCAGGACTACCAGACCACTGAGCTATCACAACCTGCCTTCATAAATATATAGCAACAGGTTTTAAATCAATTCATCTTTTATCATATTGGTTGGAAACTTTGAGGATGTTGCTTCAGGAAACCAATGTCAGTGAACACAGTTCATCCCTACATCTACAAGTTAAAACTTAGTGCCCATGGCGTGGTAACTGTCATGTCTGTGAAGGCACTTTTAATGCTGAAAGCTACATACAGGTTTTGGAGCAACATGTGCTGCCATCAGAGCCATGTCTTTTTCAGGAACATCCTGCTTATTTCAGCAAGACATTGCCAAGCTGCACCTATTACAACAGCATGGCTTCATAGTAAAATAATGCGGGTACTAGACCGGCCTGCAGTCCAGACCTGTCTCCCATTGGAAAGTGTGGAGCATTATGGAAATCAAAATCCGACTATGGAGACCCCAGACTGTTGAGCAACTGAAGTTGTTCTTCAAGCAAGAGTGGGAAATAATTCCACCTAAAACTCTTCAACAATTAGTGTCTTCAGTTCTCAAACACTTTAAGGTGATGTAACACAGTGGCAAACATGACCCTGTTCAGCCTTTTTGTAACATGCAGGCATCAAATTCAAAATAAGTGAATATTGGCAAACAAAAAAGAAAAAGTTTATCTATTTGATGATAAAATATATTTTCTTTGTAGTGTATTCAGTTGAATATAGGTTGAAAAGGATTTGCAAATCATCATATTCTGTTTTTATTTATGTTTTACACAAAGTCCCAACTTCATTATAACTGGGGTTGTATCAGAATGTATGTGTTCTTCAGATTCTAGATGCTTTAGATGTTCTGAACAGGTCGTTGTAGACGTTCCACGTTCTAGATTAAAACCTTTATTCTAAATCTGTGGAATGACTTTTACTTCTCCTCAGCTGAAGTTATAAAACACACTTTGGCTTTTGTTTACTTTTGTTTCTCTTTGTGGTTTTCATGGCAAACACTGGTGAGATGATGATTGTGCATTTTATTTATTTATTTATTTATTTATTTATTTATTTATTTATTTATTTATTTATTTATTTATTTAGTGTGGTCTCAGTTTGTGGGAAAGTGAAGCTTTGAACCACTAGATGGCAGCAGAAAGCAACCATGGATGTTGCTCCATGGATGTTGCTACTCATCAACATGTTAGTTTTTTCAAACCACAGGAAGGAAAGTAACAACTAACCTAGTCCACGCTAATTATTTATTGATTTAAATAATTACTACTTCCTGTTTAATTCAGTTAAATCAAAAGTTTCTTTGGTTCTTTTCTAGGTACTTCTTCATCAAGCATGTGCCTCCGCTGACAGAAGAACAGTTAACACGGAAACCAGCGTTGCCGTTAAAAACGCGCAGCACACCTGAGTTCTCTCTCGTCTTGGATCTGGTAGGAAGCAGCAGGTTTTATCAGTAATTATTTTATATCAGAAATAAAATGATTGCCATCTTTTTTTTTCTTCTGCTGCTTCCAGGACGAAACTCTGGTTCACTGTAGTTTGAACGAATTAGAAGATGCAGCGCTGACCTTCCCTGTCCTCTTTCAGGACGTTATATACCAGGTAATAACTGTGAAAATGAATGTTTTCTTTTTTCCTTTAGCTGCTGTGGTCAAAGCTTTGTGCTGCTTTTAAACCTGCAGGTTTATGTTCGATTGAGGCCCTTTTTTCGAGAGTTTCTGGAGCGCATGTCTCAGCTATACGAGGTGAGCTGCATCCTCATTCCACAGAGTCCACCCATTTTAATCTGCCGGCGCGCCGTAAATTAAACATTTATTGCTGCCTGGTAACGTTTCAGATTATTCTCTTCACGGCTTCAAAGAAAGTCTACGCTGATAAGTTGCTCAACATCCTGGATCCAAAAAAACAGCTAGTAAGGTGAGTAAAAACTAGACATTAAACCTGTGAAAGGTTTCTAAGCTGGTTTAATTCTAACTTTTTTATTTTTATTTTTAGACACAGACTATTTCGAGAGCACTGCGTTTGTGTTCAAGGAAATTATATTAAAGACCTGAACATTCTCGGACGAGATCTGTCAAAAACAGTAATAATCGACAACTCACCCCAAGCCTTCGCTTATCAGGTAAAGATTTTAGCTGCAGAAAACGGAAGAGATCAAATTATTACCCGTGTGTCTCGGTCACTGTTACTTGTTTTTATTTTTCAGCTTTCCAACGGAATCCCCATCGAGAGCTGGTTTGTGGACAGAAACGACAACGAGCTCCTGAAGCTCGTTCCTTTCCTGGAGAAACTGGTGGAGCTGGTGGGTGTTTTAGTTCTGGACATTTGGGGGTCCGTTCAGTCAGACGTCCTGTTAGTGTCAGTGAAGAAAGCCACTTCAGTCTCTCAGTTTTGACTTCCTGAGTTAATGATGACAGGTTTAGGTGATCGATGGGTTCAACGTGTTTTGGACTCATTCTCAGTTATCAGCTCTGATTTATTGTAGCTGTACTTAAATCATTCAGAGTAGGGTTGGACAAAATCATATCTTGTGCAATTTATTGTCAGGAAAAGCAGTAGCAATGATTAGTAGGGATGGACTGACATTCGAAATCAACTACTTCTTTGTTTTTTTCTTTCCTTCATCCCTGCTTTTGAGCTCTTCTCTCTGGAAAGGCTTTGATCTGTCCATCTGTGTCCAGGCCTCCATCTTGTCCAGCTGTAGCTCCACATTCACAAACTGCCTTGTTTTTATTCAAACACCGAAGTTTACTACAACTTATGGTGAGATTAGGAGCTGGATTGAGGTGCTTTGTCCAGCTGCCTCCCCCTGCATCATGCTTCAAATAAGACAAACATCAATTATTTAACAAAACTCTGGTTTGACTTGGCCAATCATGACATTTTTAAACAGCTGTAGAGTTTGAAGTCTGAACTTTTAACACAAGTTGAAACAGGTTCTTAGACCTGATATCCTCTGGTTAGCAGCAGCAGCTAGCAGCTACCACCAGCTGTTTTTTTCTTTTTCCTCCAGGTGGAAACATTACCATAAAACTGAAGGTTCATTTCTTCTTAAATTTCTGTTCCTGATGACTCTGCTGTGCAGTTTTCTTTTAAGGGGGAAATAAAGACGCATTTTGTTGAGTTTTTTTCTGAACAGAAGTTTTGTTTCATGAATTACTAACCTGTTTGATCGATCTCTGATGATGATGGTCAAAGTGATGCAGATAGTTTTTAAATAGTTTTCACTCTTTGTGGTTTTAAAAACTCTTAATGCTGATTTGTTTATCTTCCTGTTTCCCTCTGCGTCGCAGAACGAAGACGTCAGGCCGCACATCCGAGAACAGTTTCGTTTGCACGACCTCCTTCCTCCAGACTGAGGAGCTCGTCTTTTCATTTCAAGACGTCAACAATTCAGTTCATAAGACTCAACAGAAGGAAATATTCAGTGGGTTTTCTCTTCGCATATGCAGCATTGCCATTATCTATTTTTTTCTTCTTCTTTTTAAACTTGCTGAAAGCATCAAAAGCTATGTTTGAATCAAGAGTCCTGGATGTTTTTTTTTTTAACTCAAACCAGACTTGGAACAAAAGATGGCCTTCTGGATGGTCTTTAACGGTCTTTAACACCCAGTTCGGGTTGACAAAAGTGAATGTCGTGATGTCGGTTCTTACGGACCTTGTTGGTTTCAGCCTGACCTCCAAAGGCCAGTCCAACTTGTATTTACCTGTAAATATGTGTACATAATTGTTTGGTTTTTTTTTTCTTCGAGGTTTTTAAGTCGTTTTAATTTCACTTCAGATTTTAAAATGTAATCTTTAATCTGTTGCTTTTATAAACCACACAAACTGTTGTTTTCTTTAAAATTGTTGAGAAACAGACACTTTTTTCTCTCGGTTTTATTGTATGCCTTCAGTATTCCTGTGATGCTTTACTTTCATTACATGCAGTCGTCTGTAAAAAGGTGCAGTTTTCAAAATAAGGGTTTGTTTGGGAGAGAAATGTTTCTGAAATATTTTAAACAAAAAAAAAAAACTATAAGCTAGAATAAGGTCTCAAATGAATACAAAGCCATAATGGCCAAACAATAATTTTAGAGATTTGTATCTGATTTGTATCTGAGAGTTCGTTTCTGATTTCGACACTTTGACGGGGTGGTAGGGGGGAGGGGGGTTCAGGCATCTTGCACTTTGACATCCGGCGCTTTGTAAGTTGATATAAAGTTGTGTCACTTTTCTATACGGGTGTGCAGCACCTACATTTGTTATTTGGGGAGAAAAAAAGAGGGAAAAAAAGAAGAACAATGAAATTGTAGCACCAGCAAATTTGCCAACATGTCCGCTTTGAAATGTTGCTTTTCCAAACCGTCTCGTTCGTTGGAACTTTGATGTAGGAGTCACACGTTTTGACTTTTTGAATGATCACTCCCGGTGTATTCAGTGTTACTCAGTGGTTTCCTTGAAATTAAATTCATTTTTATACGACTCAGACTCCTAATTCTTGAGAGTGACACACAAAGTTGACCTGATGCGGATGAAAGAAACCTTTTTACACTTTGCTCTCATTAGAAGTGAAACCAGATTGAACTGATCAGTCAATATTTAGATTATTTGATTTATTCACCTTTTATTTTTCACCAGGTCTCAACGCTCGAGAGCTGAATCTGTTCATTACAGGGACTTTATATGCAGTATATATATAAAAATAAAATTCCCTTCTCACCCTCCGCAGGTGGTCTCTTTCATCCTCTGAGCTCGGGTCCTCTACCAGAGGCCTGGGAGCTTGAGGGTTCYGHDCARTATCTTAGCTGTGCCTAGAACTGCACATTTCTGGACTGAGATGTCTGATGTTGTTCCTGGGATCTGTTTTAGCCACTGCTCCAGTTTGGGGGTGACTGCCCCGAGGGCCCCGATGACCACAGGCACCACTGTGGTCCTTCCAGTTCCTCTCTGACGCCCTGGTATTTCTCCAGTTTCTCATGCTCCTTTTTCCTGATGTTGTGGTCACTTGGTATTGCGACATCC